TGGGGCAGGGCCTGCTGTTCCATCCCATAGGAAAAAGCTCGCCACTTCGTGAAACTGGCGTTACCATGAAACATCTTGACATGACTGCGATACGTAGGGTTTAGGGTTTAGGGTTCTACTTCGGGCAAGCTTCATTCCACAAGCTACCTCATCCGGCTGATGGGCATATGAAAGCGGCATGGAAACCGGGTATACATAGAGGTTTATAGGGCTAAGGGAGTTTGGCTACCCCACCCCTTCCAAATTGGGACCTCACTTTTAGGCAATTGAGAAATTCTAGATTACTATCCTAAACCCTACGCCCCTTTAGCCAAAAATCCTTAGCCCTTAGCCCGTACTAGACGGACTTAGGCATCCTGAGAAACCGGATAGGGGAGGGGTCTAGGTGAGTAAGCGCCATGAGGAGTAGCGTGCCGGGCTTTGGGTTGAGAGTTTTGAGGATCATATGGCTTAGTGTTTATGCCCAAACCCTGTAAATCCTAAACCCTAAACACACTGTGAGCTAGTGTTAATACAGGGTTACAGAGAACGCTGTAAATTGTACCCCTCTGGACCCCTGGGTCCCGGAACCCTAAACCTGCAGACCGTCTCAGACCCCCAAATGCCTTCAAACTGAAGCCACAAAAAGAAATGCTCTTATCTCCATGTTTGGTATGTCTCAAGCAGACAATCAAGTATACTGATGTGCACAAAATATGCAGGAAGAGAAACCATGGAAAAAGTGCTGCACATCAGGAAGTTTGAAGAGTATCCATTTTGGGAAGGTTTCATTTGTCGGTCTCCGCTTTTGGGTCCTTTAGGTATAATATAACGTAATGGCTCTTGAAACAAAGCCCACATTCATCGTGACTTACATTGCCTTCTAGACCTGCACTCAATCAATGTAAAGGGCAAGAGCAGCTATAAGCAGTAGTCGAGGGCAGGGCGTTTACCAGTTACATACCTATATATATATATATACTCTGCAAACCCTCAAGCATCGGCATTATCCTCCGATAAAAAAAACGGATGGGGGGACGATCATTGAGCCCTAAACCCTCAACCGAAACGCCTCTCTGGCCTTCGGGCTATGCGCTCATGGACAGGGCTGCTCTTGAGAGAGAGAACGAGAGAGAGAGAGAGAGAGCCACCCTAAACCGCAAACATTCCCGGGGTGAGCCTTATATAATAATCTCTATACGACTATATAATCCCCATAGAGTCCCCTCATAATCCCGCGATAATCCCTATAGTCACATTATAACCCACGTATAAGCCGTATACCCCATGTCATGGAAGCACAGCTCTCACTCCGGCTAAACCGTGCTCACCCAAAACCTAAACCCTTAGAGTGATACAGGGGTTGTATGGGGTTAAGGGCTTAGGGACTAGGGAAGTTAAAGGTATGAAGGAATATTCAGGGCCAATCCAGGGACAATGCAAAACAAAAGTGCAAACTATCATTGAGGGTTTTGCCCTTAGGGGCTGACGTAAAGACTTGAAAGCCGGCTATATGCGGTTCCATCTTAGTTTAAAGGAGGGTAAGGCTAAAAAACTAGACCGCGGAACCCGCTGGGCCTGAAACCCCAGACATCCTAAACCCTAAACCCTAAAAGCCCAAACCTAAGGGTAGAAAAAGCCCAGGGCCTTGCGAACATTCTAACCGAAAGCTAGAGATTCAGGGTTTAGGGCTTTAGGGTTTAGTCAACCCCTAGTCAACCCCTACACTCCCGGAAACTAACATGGAAACCCAAAAAGGGCCCTATAAAGACTACAGTCCTTCTAAAAGGGGGCTATATGGGTTTCCATGTTAGTTTGGGGGAGTGTAAGCTTCAGCTTCCCCCAATCCGAAGCCAGTTTAGGGTCGCTAAACCCTGAACCTTAAAACCCCCTCAAAACCCAAAAATCCCAAACCCTACATTCCAAATCCCACGCCCTAAACCCTAAACCCTATATATATATATATCACTCCTCAACCCCTAAGCCCTGAACCCCACATGCTAAACTAACTAGCCAAGACCCTGAACCCTAACCCAAGCCCTATACATCCCT